GCTAGAGGAAAGTAATTTACATTGTTCTTCAGATATATTTATAAGTATATTTAGCATTTCAGATCTACAGTAAACCACTTCTCTTTCAATTACTCCCATATTCTTGAACTGCTATTGCAGTGTCTATAAATTGCCCATATGGAAGTATCTACTGAGGGTCAGAATGTTATGATACATCATTCATACATGATTCATTCATTCTGTTTTTTAATCCCTAATGATAAGCTAGAAAATCATATTCAATACTAGAGACATATAGTAGTATAAAATACAAAACCCCTTTCTCCTAAAAAACATTAAGCCGAAATATAATTGGGTCTCACCTAGTAAAACGTTGAGAAGTGTGTATAGTTCTATGTGGTACGTTTTTCAGCTGCATTCCCATGACATTCATGTTTACTTATCATTAGAAAAAAAGATCCGCTTCGATGAAACTGCTTTTCTATATGGGTGACCCTTTACTCATTGGGATTTTTGGAAGAGGCAGTGAAGCTAAAACAATAGTTCCCAGGTTCAACTTGTGTACGTAAGAAGGCTCAGGCTCCCTCTGGTGGCGATAATGTCATATTATTTTTATTGAAAAGTATTGATAATGTGGAAGATGCGGTTGTCAGGGTGAATATTCCTAGTGAAACACAAAGCAGAAGTCTGGTGCCTTAGATAAAGATTTAGCATGAAGCCCCTGGAAGTGACTCCTGAGTGATCTTCAGCAGCTGGGTTGCTGGGCTCTGTGGCTTCCTAAACCTTCGTTAATTCTGAGTGGGGGAGAGGGAAAAAGGGGAAGAATCAGATACCTCCTAATTATATCTATTCTGACCTCCCAGGAACATGGTGAGAAATTACGGAGCTATTTGCTAAGTGCTTTGGGTTCTTTAAATAAAGATGTTTTGTAAACTTACAGTTTCTTAGTAACATATCTTCAACTCTAAATTTCCTTTTAGAGCAGTGGTCAGTAGTAAGATCATAAAAATAATAAGTCAAATGCTGCCATATTTGTTATTTTTAGCATAGTAAGGTACACAAATTGTAGTGTATTATATACTCTAGTATAAGATGTCGCATATAGTATAGTGCAGTGTTTCCTAGATAATGTAACTGGAGTGTTTGGAGGTGAGGAAGAAGACTGGGTGCAGGGATGGGGTTTAAACCCTTTGTGGTTTTATGAAGTATCGTTCTTTAGGGTTTTGGAAGAAAGGAAAATGATTTCTAAATGATGTCTCATCAAAGTAATTTCCCTGAAAAATGAATATTAATTTAAAGTGGACTCTTGGTATAAGGCGTGGACGAGGGATGCTTTTGAAAAATATTGGGCTAATATTGGACCACATGTGTATTTTTTTATATATGTCGTACCTATGGACAACTCAAGGTTCTGTTGTTCTTAGGAACTTATTTCAAGAGTTCAAGTAGAACATCCGCATAATTAAGGGCCTGTTAATTAAGAAAAAGAGCTGTTAAAATTCCACAGCTTTCTAAACCCACAAAATGATGTTGAGCTGCAGATAATGGATTCATCCTAGATTATTGATTAAATGTGTGCAGATGTAAGCATAGAAATAGTACATTCCTCATTAGCATGTAGCCTGTGTTTACATTCATTAAATCACAGGTGGTCTAGCAGTAGGATGAAATTAGCATTTTTTTTAGTTTTGGAACTTTTCCCTGCCTTAAAGCTGTTTGAAACTGCTGGCCATTTCAGAACTTAGTTTAGTTAAACATATAACTATTATGGTGCTATAGAATTTAAACATATAGACTAAATTCTGGACTATTTAGGCCCAATATTTATGGCTGGATGGACTGATGTTCTCATTCGAGTTAAGATAACATTTCTGTTAATTCTTCTGAGATAGGAATGAAAGGCATTTCCTGTGGAATTGCAACGATAATAATTTTTTTAAATCATGAAAATAACCTTATGTTTTTTTCTTTTCTGATAATTAAGGTAAGAAATTCTTTTGGCTAAAAAAAAATCAGACATGATAGAAAAGTATAAATATGAAAATAAAATTACCTGCAATTCCAACACTGAGAAATATCCACTGTTATCAGTTTTCACATGTTGTTCATATTCACCATCTCTCACCACTAGGCCTGGTATGGAGGTGGTGGGCGCCGTGTCCGCCTTGCCCCTCATTGTTCTCATTCTCCCTCCCTCTTTCCTCAAAGCCCTCAGCTTTGAATCTCATGCCATAAAATTATACCACTGCTTGTAGTTTTCATCAACTGTACCCTAGGCCACACTTCCTTCATTCTTTTAAGATTTAATCCCTGCCTCAGTGTCATTCTCTCCACCTCTCCATTCTCTCTGTTACAGTATCCACATAATGGATCTTTACAGTAACTTGGCTGCTCAGTTCCTCCACCTTAGCTGCTTTACTTCCAGGTCAGACCTGGTTTTCAAGCTGGGGCAGTTTTGCCCCCCAGGGGACATTTGGCAATGTCTAAAGACTTTTGATTGTCACACTGGGGCAGTGTTACTGGCATCAAGTGGGTAGAGGCCACAGGTGCTATTAATCATCCTACAATGCACAAGACAGCACCCTACGAAAACAAATTATCTGACCCAAAATGTCAGTAGTGCTGAGGCTGAGAAAGCTTGCTCTAACAAAGGTAGCCTCTCTCTTGTGCCTTCCTAAAATAAAGAGCTTCCTAACCTAGGTATTATTTAATACTTTAGCCTATTGAGTGACTTTCTGTGAGTATTCTTGGAGGCAGGAACTATATAGCTGGAGTACAGTTAGAACAGAACTATCTTTCTCTGGGAATGGAATAATAGCTTAGTGCTTTTTAATATTAACACCTTCTCTGGCAGTATCATTTAATGGGTTAACATCTTGTCTGGTGAATCAGACTAGCCAAATGTAGGAAAGGTAGATTCCAGGCAGGAAATCCTTCCAAAGCAGCATTTCTTAAGATTTTTTTTAAGCATACAGTTTTATTCTTAAAATCCACAATATCACATTTTATATGTCTGAGACCAAGGCTTCATCCCTTGTCCTCCATGTTTTGACTCCTTTTGAGTTGACTGCAAAGTATCTACAGACAGATTTTTTTTTCTCCACAAGGGGAAAAACACTTAGTGAATTCAGTTGTTATAATGTAGCTTATTGTATTCTGTGGGCTCAGAAAGCCCTGCCAGAATGCCTCGGTGGTGCCCTTATTAACTGAGAAAAATGAGAGCAATGATAATATCATATGTTGAAAATGATATTGAGCCCAGAAATGCTGACATGTTATGATGTAAAATTCCACAGGACAGAGTATATTGATGGCTTTGTTTAGCTCCAGGCCTTTTAATTGTTAAGGTTTGGGTCCTTTCTTTGGGACTTTATTAGACCTTAGTTCTCTTGAAAGGACTCAGGAAACCTTATTATTTTCTCATTAGGAAAAAAAATCATCCTGTGGCAACACTAGATTTCCAGTATTCGTTGCTATTATGGGGAGTGCGAAGACATGACTGCTGACTTGGGATTTCTCATTCCAGGAAGTTAAAGATAGTGGTATAATTTCTACTAGTCGTTCTTGGAGAAGAAGAGATTTGTGGGATCTATAGTCAGGGATGGAGAAGAGCATATCAAGAGTGACAGCATGAGCCACAGATAGGTCCAGCATTTGTGGGCCCATGCTTTGGCCCCGAAATGCAGCATCAGACGGAACATGAAAGGTGGGTTGGTGGCACATAGTCTGCCAGTCTGGGCTGTCCCACCATTTTCTTTTCCCTTGTGGTTGCTGCTTCTAGGTAGCCATAGATTATGTTGGGACTCTTTCATATTAATAAAATCAGGATGAGTTCTTCTTTTTGCCTTTACTTAGAAATAGTTAGAAGGACGGGAAACAGAAGCCACCCAAATCATTCTTCATTGTAAATTCACCACTGGAGGGTGTGTAGATTTGCTTCTGCAGTTCTAAGCTCTATCATCAAACGAAGCCCTGGTTAGGGCTGGTTTTTATGTGATTTTTCTTAAGTGGTGCTGGCAGATGGATTATCTGGTGTCTTTATACTAACCATCCCTCGTTAGCTCTCCCTGCCCAGTCTTTTCTTGTCTGGTCTCAGCCGGCAAATAAGAACTTCACAGTCTGGAAACAATGTTGTAGCTCTGCTTAAGTTAGTTATTAGATTGTTAGATGAAACACGTTTGAGGAGATGAGTGTTGTTTTCTTTATTTATAGGAGAAGCCCTGATATCCAAGCAAAAGAAGAGTTATGGAAGCATATTCAGTGAGTACTGGGTTATGTTTTTGCTGAGGAAGACTGGCCCTGAGCTGACATCCGTGCCCATCTTCCTCTACTTTTATATGTGGGATGCCTGCCACAGCATGGCTTGCCAAGAGGTGCCATGTCCGCACCTGGGATCCGAACCAGTGAACCCCTAGCCGCCGAAGTGGAATGTTTAAACTTAACCGCTGCACCACCGGGCCGGCCCCCATCCTCATCGTTTTAAAACCCATGTGGTTTTAAGGCATTTATAAGGAAGACCACTGACACCAAAAGGCAGCCTCAGACTGAAGCCTGTCAAATGGTCTTCATTGCCGTCATTATGTGGAACATGGTGCTCACAGTGGGGGTGCCTTAGCATGCCCACAGCCAGTCTACAGGCAGCCCTGATCTCTCCTCTCCTAGGCCATTTAGCCTTGCCTCTAAGTGGGCCTCAGACAGGCCAATATTTTATAAATAAGTACCAAGGACAACAGGTTCAGAAGAAAAAAAGACACCTAGTGCAGGGGATAGGAGCAGATCTTTTGTAGGGAATGGAGGATGGCTGGAGCACCATCTACCTTCTGGAAATAGAAAAACTGGAAGAAAGTAGAAGAGCTAGAGGGAACATTTTCCTCCCATTTTTCCTTGAGTATATTCTAGTTTTTAAATCTTTGTTCCTGGCTTACATTTCTATTAGTTTTACTAACACTGTGTTTTGGGACAAGATTAGAAAAAAATGCACCTGTCAATTTCTCTATTCCAGCATGGCAACTTTAATTTTCTTGCTCTTTCCCTTCTAGAAAGGAACTTGTGGATCCATCTGGATTGTCAGAAGAACAATTAAAAGAGATTCCGTACACTAAGATAGAGTGAGTATGTCTTTGAAAATCTTTTCACCCAAGTTTTATTAGTACTTACAAGTGAGTGATCCATTTTTACTCTTCAGTGGTGTTCCATGCAGTGCTTTCATTTGTCTTGATGTTTTAACTAAAATTGAAAATAACGACAGGGAGAGGGGTAGAGAAGGGTGTATTAAAGCTAATTATTCTCCTTTGTACTTGTATAATCATTGTCATCTCCTATTAACTGCCTATTTGTATGTGGTAGGTACAAATGGGGCTTTCGATGGTTAATGTTAGCTTTAAAATATGGTTTTTTTTTGAGATATTCATTGATTGGCAACAATATTTCTTATTATTTTAACACCAAGAGAATTTGCTGACCATAAAACCCTGTCATATAAGCCCAATCTAAGCCCTGTCCTAGAACTAGGACATTGAACTTGCTTCATGAAAGCCTAATGGGATCCCTGTCATCCTCAGTGTAGGATGCCGCAGCAGAGGACCTATTTACTGTTTTCTGCCCTGCTATTATTGGTTAAGAGAAAGTGAGAGCCCGCTTCATTGCTTTACTTCCCTTCTGTAACCCAGGCCTCCTTCCCTCTCCAGTCAAATTGCAGGTTGGTACACACCCTGCCCACCTCCACCCCCACCCCCTCATCTTTAAGCCAAAGATTGAATTGTTAATGACAGGCTAGTTAGTAGCTAGGACAAAAGCAGCTTTTTCTGGTAGGAATACCATTTTGTCTTCATTGAAGATTTTTTTTCTTCCACACTGCTGGAGAGAACTCAACAATTGGGAATAATTTCATAAATATTTGGTAGTTAAAAAAATATACATATACACATATACATACAAATATTATAAGGAGTTTCACTTTCATGTATGGTCAGGGGAGCAGTTTTCTATTGTAAACTTGTGAAATTTAAGCCATTTGGGCTTTCCAAGCCCAGAGGTATCATGTTATTTTTGAAACTCTCAAAGTCATTATTCCTTTATGGTTTCAATGTTAAAGAAGAACTCCAGATTATCCTGTTCTGACTTCAGGTGTGTTTGTTTCTGTGTTTTTTGTTGCTTGTCCAGGACTCAAGGTGACCCAATCCGCATCAGGCATTCTCATTCGCCACGAAGTTACCGCCAGTATCGCAGGTCCCAGTGTTCAGATGGGGAGCGATCCGTTCTCTCGGAAGTGAAGTAAGTAGGCAAGCCGGAGGACATCATCACCTTCATGGCTCCAGAGAAGCACAGTCCAATAGAACTTTCTGCGATGATGGAAATGTTCTGTATCTATGGTTATTGAGTATTCGAAATGTGGCTACTGTGACTGAGAAACTAAACTTGTAATTTTATGAGTTTAAGATTAAATAGCCATGTGTGGTTAGGGGCTACCATACTGGACAACGCAGATATGGATCATACTGAAGCTGATTTACAGCACTTCCAAGCTATGTGCCGAGGCTTTTAGAAGAAAGGGAAAGAAAAACCCATGAGCTATGGTATTGTGAGTAATGCAGACACATTTGAGGGAGGTTGACAGAAAAGAGTTTCTTTTGATCTGGCGAAGAGTTTCTTTTTGATGGCTTTTCTTTTACTACAGCAAACATCAGATATTACAGTAGTTTGTTTCTTTGTGCTATTTTTCCTTTTGAGGAGAACAGCCATATCTCAGCTTGACACGCTAGGTCCCATATCTTAAATGAATATGTTAACTTAACAGTTATGCATCCATTTGTAAAAACACTACAGTCATGGAAATTCATGCCCTTGGGATTGCTAGTTGGACTGTTAACCATTAAACTCTGAACTAAGGCTCAAAACTTTGATAAACAATCAGTTGGGAGATGGGCTAGCCCAGTGGAGAAAGGTATTAGGCCAGTTTTGTTTGAGTTTTGTTTTGTTTTGTTTATAAAATGTAGAACCTGGCTGTCTGTAGCTCCATAGGTTTATAGAAAAGAATAAATGGCCAATAAATGTTTCTCTAGAAACAAGTCAGAAAGCCATTTATACAACACGGCACGGTAGGAAAAGCACACAGGAGCCATATCTATGTTTTATTCTTGGTTCTTCTATTTATTTGCTGTGATTTGGGGCAAATTACTTAACCTGTCCAACTTAATTTAATTCAAAAACCGTGATTAAATGCCTCTTTGTGTAAAGCACTGTGGTAGGCACTATAAGGAATACAAAGATATATAACACGTGCTTTCCACCCTATTGCTCTCTTCTAACTCAAGCTGTGACTCTAGGTACTGTCGCAATCATTAATTGTAAAACTCGCTCTCCACAGTTCAAAAACAGATCTCGTTCCTCCACTTCCCGTGACCCGTTCTTCCGACGCTCAGGGTTCTGGTGGCTCCACCGTTCATCAGGTTGGTGATGACAAAGTTTTAAGAAGGGGTTGTACTGATGACAGGTTGAAGAAGCACTTTTCTGAAAGTTCTTTTGGGGAGGTATAGTAATGAATCTGACTGCACTCTGAGACTCTGTTTTTTAAAACAACATGTACAAAATGTGGAAGAAGGAAGGAAGGGGTGCGTGATCAAGACAAGGTCCAACCTTGACCGAGTTACATTAGGAGTGAGAGCTAGAGGTAGTGCCAGGTCTAAAATGATATGAGGCTTGGGGCAAAGCCAAGGATAACAAAGATTGTAACATTGTTTGTCACCAGAATAAAGCAAAAATGGCTTCACTAATTAAAAAAAAATACTTTTAGATATTTTTTGAGCCATAGAAACAAGGAGAAAGTGATAGACTCACAGGGGGCAGGTGTTCTATTGTTAACTGGTGGTAGACAGAAGAATTACTCAAGTCCTACTTTATTTCTGTCTTATTATCAAAGAGAATTATTTTTATTCTGGAAACGTTTAAACAGTGTAGTTAAAAGGGAATTTAAGGACACAGCAAAGCTCTGACTGCCTTAACAAATTCAGTGTAACCCTCAGCCAGATTAGATACATAAGGGGAGCGCTGGGGCAAACATTTCAGCAAGGTGTTTGATGCCATCTCTCATGGTATATTTTTTAGTAAGATAGAAGAAGTGTAGGCTTTGTAACATTGCTGGATGAAGTTACATCTGGTTAAATAACCACTCTGAAAATAAAGTTGATGTTTATAATGGACCAGTGTCTACCCATTGTTTGCAGTGCTGTGGTTTTCAGTCTTTTATTGGATCACGGATCTGTTCGAAAAGCAATTATAACTACAGTCTTTTCCCATAAAAATGCATGTAAGCACACACACAGTTCTGTATATAAATTCAGGGAGTTCATGGACAACCTGACTAGGAACCCTGACTCCAGAGCATCCGTCATGCTCTGCCTTTTGTTTGTCCTGATTCATTTTTGTCAATGACTTCTGCAAGAACAGAAAAAGCCTATGCCGATTTAGGTTAGGTTCCCTAGAAACAGATTCTGAGATGGAGACTTGCACAGAGGAAGTTTATTGGAAAGCGCTTTTAGGATCAACACTTGCAGGGGAGTAAAAGGTAGGTTTGGGCAGAGGCAATAAGGGAACTATGTAGTGTAGTCCCAGTAAAGGCATCACTAATCCCATGAGGAACTTGGGAGCTGAGATGGCCCTTCAAATTCATGCCACCAGGAGACAAGGGGGTTGGGCCTTTCCACACTCACTCACCCTAGAGTAGTCACTGGATAAAGGGAGCCCCTGGTGGGGGTGTGGCCTTGAATGGCTCTCTTCAGCTGAGGGCAGTTGCTGGGGAGGGGCTCAGTGTTGAGTTGTACAGCAGCCAACACTCCCAACAGCTGGGAGGAGGAATGCCTCAGTCTGGAATGGAGATCCGGGTGGTTAACCACAGGTTCCATACAATCTGCATGATATTTGATTAGATAAATCTGAGAGATAATAGGTTGTCCAAACAGTTTGTTTCAAGTCAACAGCACTTTTTAAAAATTACATTCGTGATTAGTAGTTTAGACTTTGCATTCAGACTGATCTGCGTTTGTGTCTCCTCCTCCCCACATACCACTTACGTGACTGGGAGCAAAGCGTTTAACTTCTAAGCTTCAATTTGTGTGCAATGTAGATAATAACCTGCCTATTAGGGTGGGTTACTGTGAGGAAGATTAATAAGCACTGTTACTTTTCAGAGCTTTTTTTGGTCTTAAATTTAAGTTGGTTTCAGTACAAATAGGAATTGTACTGTATTTTTGCTTTTCCAGCTACTCTCTAACTAATCACCATCACTTAGGAATCTCAAACATCTTAAATTATACACATTACCTGTTGAAAGAGTAGCTCTCACTTTGCTGCACCCAAGAACAACTCACTTGTTCTGATCAATGGTGCTGAATCTAGGCTTGTCTTCTGATAAGTGGTGCTGAATCTGCCTTGTCTCTGGGGCACCTTTGATTTTGAACTCAACAAATATCTGAGCACATCTCAGGACTGACAGGCACTGGTCTGTGCAGTCAGCAAACTACAGCCCATGGGCTAAGTCTAGCCTGCTGCTTGTTTTTGTACAGGCCAGGAGCTCATAATGTAATGGTTTTTACATTTTTAAAGGGTTGTTTGGGAAAAAAAAAGCCGGGGGGACTATACAACAGAGACAGGAGGTAGTCCACAATCTGACCCTTTACAGAAAATGTTTGCTGACCCCTGGCCTGGACATAGAATATAGAAGTAAACAGGCAAAACAATAAAAAAATTAGGTAAGCATTATGAAGAAACAAAGGCATGCATTAGAAAATCAACAGGTGACCTCACTTTAGGTAGACAGGGTGGTCAGAGGAGGCCATCTTAGAAGGTGACATGTAAACCTGAAACCTCGCAGGCGAGAAGGAGCCAGCCGTGTGAGACCAGGTGGAAGGCTGATGTAAGCAGAGGGAAGAGCATGGGAAGGAATGCTGAGGCTCGAGAGGGTCTGGGTGTTTGAGGAGCTGAGAGGGCACGCGGTCTGAGCACAGTGATTGAGGGGGAAGGAGGGCAGATAATGCAGGGCCTTAGATGCCATGGGAAAAGAGTTTGGGTTTTATTCTATTTTCAGTGCCAAAAGGAAACCACTGATCTTGTTGCCAGGTGGAGAAGGGACTTGAGTGGCACGTGGAAGCAGGAAGGTTGCGTTTCTGGAGTTCTGCCATGGTGCCGGAGTTCTGGCAGTGGCCTGGCCTCCCTACACCTCACCTCGCCTTTTCATGCAGAAGGCTAGTAAAAATAGGGTGGATAAAGGAGTTTGATTCACTTAGTGATTTCCTTGAAGTTTGCAGGCAGAGAGGACAGGTTCAGTCCTAGACAAACTTGCAGGAAGGTAGTGCTTGTTTGGGTAACCTCCCAGCTCTTTTTCTGGTGCTTCTTCTGATATATTAGGTCTCTATTCCCCTGCTAACCCTCATATGTACTGTCCCCTCCTCCTGCTTCCCTGGCTCTCTAGAATCTTCTGTCCCAAACCGATAATGCCTCACGCTCCAAAATCACCTTGGTTCATACTCCCCATGCTCAGCAGAGTTGCTCCATCAGTGGTTCTTTGCATACCAGTAAAACAAATTAAGCCAGTCATAGGAAGAAATGAAAGATAATTTCTTAATGGGTGATTTATTTTCAGCCCAAATGAATCTCACAATAATAGAATTCTGGACAGTGTAGCTCATTAGGTGTGAGGATATGCTATGGGGAAGTAAACATGCTTGTTAGCCACATCTACTGACAGGTTGGGCCGTCTCTAAAAAGAAGTCAGAGCAGGCAAGCTAAGCAGAGGAAGGAACTGTGTGGGACACTGTTAGTGTCCTTCTCAGGGCCTCTACCTGTGGCTGTGGAAGATGTACATGACCCAATTCCAGAAGTCCTGGGTGTGGTGCCCAGGCCCTGGTAGCTAGGCTCCGTGCTTCCCCGTTGTGAGTCCCTCATAGTCTAAGTCCCCCCACCCCAGCTGACAGGGTACTCTAACTCCACGTGATTGTGTTGGAACTAGAAACACAACCCCCTGGGGGCTCCCAGGGCATTGTGTTGTGGGGTTCATTCAGTGACTATTGAAAATATAATCAGGGAAGATTGTAAATTACCCCCAACTTCCCATTCTCTTCATCTCTGTGCCCCTCCTTGGAAAAGTGGGAGGCCTGAGAGCCTGGTTTAGAAATGGCTACAAAGGAAATGACACTTAATTGGGGGAACAGATTGAGATTTATGCCTAATTTTCATGAATAAAATTACGCATGTTAACTGTCAGATTAAGATTTTAAATACATAATCTTCATGTTATCATAGTTGTTAACTATTTAAATAGAAATTTGTTGAACAGCTTTTCGGTATTATGAACCTTTCTATTTTATAACTTGACATCTTAAATGTAAGAAATGTAGTAATTTCTGATTAATAAAATTGGCTTGCTGTATTTTCTTCTCTGAATCTTACTTTCTATATTTTTCAAATATATTTTCTTCTAGAGAAGAAATGGGTCTAAAGATAGCCTGATTGAAGAAAAATCTCAGACATCTACAAGCAGTCTGGCTGGAAAACACACAGCAAAAACCATAAAAACCATCCAAGCTTCACGCCTGAAGATAGAGACTTGATTCCAGTGAAGACAGGCTTGGGACAGGCGAAGGGAAGGGTGTGTGTGCCACCTTTACTTTGAAACTGTGAATTACAACTACTCAGATACCTTGGACCTGCAGAAGTTTCTTCAAAAGAAAACACTGAGTCTGTTGCTTCTTTTTAAGGTTTGACTGCAGCATATTTGTGCCGAAGGGCCTTTTGATTTGGTAACTGGAAGGATAGTGGTCTTGTAAAAACTCCTTCACTTGATGCCATATTTTCTTTCCTGGAAACCCCAAGTATCTTGTGTCCACCACAACCAAGACCAGATGCTTCTGATCAAAGTTCTGGAATCCTCGTCTGCAGCTGGCTAGCTGTGCAATAGTACACCGAAGGGGATGAAAACGTTCTTCCCAATCCTGGGTGGATCTCAGACTGCACAGATGTGTGAAGACTGAGGCTTGCCTTTCAGACTGCAGATATTTTTATTCATATAAATAGGATCTTTGTTAATACTGTATTTTGTGGCATTAAGTTCCACTTGTTATTTACTAATGTAAAAAAGTTTTTGTTTGTAAGTGTTGCTTTTAATTTCTAGTGTCCTTGTCTTGTGCTTTCAGAGAAAAAAAAGCTGTCTGTGGGTTTCAGTTGACCTCAGCTTATAAATTCATGACCCTCAACCTCAAATGGTCCCTCCACCCTGCTTGGCTATGTACTTCTCCCCTATTTCAGACCTTTCCTCTCTGCTGATGACTTTGCAATCTACTTAAAAGGGAAAACAGAAACACTCATGCGGGGTATCTTTTATCTTCCCCTTACCAAACCTCTCCTCGGCTGCCATCAACACTCATCCTTTCCTCCTCCCCCTCCACCTGTACTTCGGAGCCTAGCTCCTTCAGCCTCCCTGCCCCTGCTCTCTCCTGTATTAATATATTCAACCTCTTCCTCCCAGCTAGATCCTTGCCACTTGGTTTTAAACTTTTAAGACTACCATCTAAAATAAACCAACCAACTTTCACAACCATAAATCCCTCTCCAGCTACCATTTCTCTCTCCAATTCTAAATTTCTTGGAAGGATTATCTGTAGCCGGTGTCCTCAGTTCATCTATCTTCACACTGGTCCAAGATGGTTATCTCTTGCCTAGACAACTGTAGTAGCTTCCAATTGGCTCACCTGCATCCCCTTTCTTGCAAATGTAAATTTCTATCACAGACTTTAACACAGCTGTAAGTGTTCTGGCATCTTACCTGTTCAGCCTCTTGTTAACACTCTGAGCTCCCATAGTGGACACCTTACAAGCCTTAAAGCACTCAACTCTTGTCTAAATCAGGGCACTTAGTGGGCAAAGCAACTACAACTGCTGTAAAAGTAGACTTACGGTCATATCCTTTTTCTAGCCCTAGGGCTCTGCATACGCCATTCCCCCAACTTTGCCTTGCAAAAGTGCTACCTACCCTTTAGTCACAAGTCTGCACTCTTAGGTTTCCCTGATTTGGTCAAATCCTATCATGCATGGGATTTGTCTCACAAAGGCAGTTTTACATTTGTGATGACATCTCCAACTGTAAGCTTCCAGAGGGAGCAACCGTGTCTCGCTCACCATTGTGTCCCCAGGTCCTGGTACAGTGCTTTCAATAAATTTTTTCAATGCCTAAACACACTATTTGTTCTTTCCTACAAAGTGAAGGCAAAAAGATATACCAAACTTAAGTTTACAGTCTAGTAAAAAAAAAAAAAAAAAAAAATTGCAGTGACACTGTCAAGCACACCTGTGACCTAGAAACCAACCAGCCCAGTTCTTCATGTATGAGGTACTTCTCCTTGGGCCTAGCATAAGCCTGTAGTTCATCATCTTATTAATCATATTAACCTTAATGGCTGAGATTTAACAATTTTGACGTTGCTGGAGGAGGAGAGAGAAACCCTTCCTTTGATCTTTCAGTGAAATAATGCTATTTTCTGGGAGTTAATCACTTAATACACAAACCTCCAAGAAGCACATTGAATTATTTATTCATAGCCCCACCATTTAAAATGTATATTTATGGACTGTCCAAGGGCAATAATTTCAATACACCTCAGGCTCCTGGAAACTTTAAATGATCCAAGCAACTCCTGTGAAGATCAAATTTTCAAATTCCTCACCGAAGACATCCTAAAAGAAAAAATAAAGCATTCAATTTGACAAGCAAATATTTACCTGTATCACATCTTAAGATCTTGGTAGTAAGCTCAGTACACACTTCTGCATCACATTAAGTTATGCATTTCTGGACTTGGCCTTAAATGTCAACATAAAACATGCCAGAGATTTGGATTTTCAAAAAAAAAAAAAAATTTAGCTACTACACATAGAAACGTATCAAGATTTCAAAAGTAAGCTGAGTAAGGCTATCCCATTTGCAGTTAAAGTCACCCTGTTAGCTACAGATGTAGCAATACTAATATTAATGAACCATTAATACCCAATTTAAATTAAATACCCACTAGAGAAGGCACCCAATCTAGAAAGGTGATAAAACACCCATTACAAATAACTGCTTTGTGACTAAACTTCTCCTTCAATATCACCTACCTTAGGTCAGTCACCGTTGTGCTCCCAGACACTACTTGGCAAGTAGCGGTCTATGCTTCCAGCAGCCATCTTTCACCTTAACAAAAATTAATTAAAACCGGTTTAGAGAAACTACAAACGTTGGTTGACTCAGGATCACTTGTGTAAACACACTAATATAAGACCATAAACTGTTACTTATGCAGCTTCTACACCAAAGATATCAAATTCAAGGGCAGGAAAAAGCTGCCAAGTGTTTAGTTTGCGCCTTTTTTGACACCACATTCACTAGTTTCAAAAGTGAATGGGCAACACAAAGGCTACATGAAAACAGGCTGCGGACGGCTGCATGTGGCACAAAGCTGCTGACCCTCCCTCAACCGGCTGAGAGGAATAATGAACTCATCCCAGCTCGAGATATTCATTTAAGGTTCAAAATCCGACTAAGGAATGAAAATTGAAATACAAAGCGTCTTAAAAAGTTAAAATCTTAAAACTTGGAGACGACTTGTCTTTCTTGCACTAGCATGAAAACTCACCTGCAAAGTTGGTGATACTCATTCGATTTCTGCCAAGTTCTGCGCCTCGAAACGGCTGTCAAGATCTAAACCTGAAAGGCACTTTCCTTGTCCGCCGACGGACGTCACACCGCGGCAGGGCGGGCACGCAGGCAGTCGGACGGTGAGGCCTTTCCCTTGCACACGAGCGAAATCCCCGCTTCTATTAAAAACTCCCCGGCATACAGGGGGTGACCAACAAACTTAAACGCATTCAAACCCATCTCCCTACTTCCCGGCGTGGGGATGCAGGAGCGCAGACGGGGGGCCGCTCCGGGGCCCGCTGAGGTTCCCCGGACAACGTGGCCGCGGCCACACCCGGCCGCTGTCCCCAACGTGTTCAGGGCCCAGAACCTCGGGCCAGCAGGGCCGCCGCGGGCGCGTCCCCAGGCTCGGACGGCGCGAGTCCCTGCCCGGCGTCCTGGCCGTCGGAGGCCCAGCGAGCCCACAAACACTCGCCATCCTTGAACCACGCGCACAGCACGTCCCGACCGGTGCGCGGAGGCAGGAGAGGCCGCACTGCCCTCCCACAATGCTTTTCTACAACTGGAAGGACCCACTGTGCGGAGGGCGCGGGGAGAGCGGACGGTACCATCGGCCGCCGCGCCCTCGCGAGCGCCGCCGTGTGGCGGGAGGGCGAAGTGCCCGGTGATTGGCCGCGCGGCGCGTCTCCAAGGGGAAGAGGAGTGAGGGGCGAGGGTTCGCCGCGCCCCTGGAGTCCTCTCTGCGTTGTGTGACAGTTCTTGTGGCGGAGAAGGAGGTTTCATCGAGTGTGGATACCCACCCACCCTGCCTCCCAGTGTCAAGAGCACATGGTCCGCGCTGAGCTGCGGGTGTAGCCCAAAGGACTTGAGACCTCGTGTTCTGGGGGAGGACAGACAGAGTTCACCGTCTCCAGCTGAGGAAGAGTAAGAGTCTTTCAAAAAATATTTATTGAGTACTTACTATGTTCAAGCTCTGTCCTAAATGCCTGGGAGTCAGGGGTGAATGAGATAGACAAGATTCCTGTCTTAATTCTAGTTGGGCGAGAAGGACACTGAACAGGTAGCATGGACACTTTAAGTCCAGATAGTGTACGTGCCAAGGAGGAAACGAGGGAAACGTGACCGAGCAGCGCTGCCCAATAGAAATATACTGCGAACCACTGTGTCATTTTCAGTTTTCGAAACGCCACGTATAAAAGTAAAAAGAAACTAATTAACATATGTTAAATATCATTTCCACATGTAATCAATATAAAGTTATTAATGATATATTTTGCATTCTTCTATTCCTACCAACCCTTAACAGTCCGTCGTGTAGTGTATACTTCCAGCACATTTCATTCAGACTAGTCACATCTCGAGTGCTCAGCAGCAGGCTTTGGCCAGGGTGGCTGGAGCAGCTTGGGGAGTGCAGAATGGCAGGAGATGCAGCGGAAGAGATGGGCGGATGCAAATCATACAGGACTTTCTATCTGTGGTAAGGTGTCGGGATTTCATGCTGCAATTTTAGAATTGATTAATTATTATCACAGAAATAAAGCAGAGGTGTTAATTGGTTTTCTGCCTGATAACCATAACTCACTGAAGGGACAAGACTGCAGGGAGATAGCTGTATGATAATTCCTTCCGTCTCCTTGCTCCTACAAGTCCTAGCAGAGACTCATCCAGAGACAACATCCCAGTACCTTTCTTTGTTCTTTGAATCTTATTGCTGAAAGAAAGGAAGGAAGGGAGGGAGGGAGAGAAGAAAGGAAGAGGAAGGAAGGAAGGGAAAAAAAGGAAAGAAAAGAAGGAAGAAAGAAAATTCAAGCCCACAGCCCAGTGGTCATCACACAGGGACTAGCTTGAATGATAACATCAACTTGGGGACAATGGAGACATACAGGATTAAGTGTGTAATGATCACAAGAAGGTGAGTAACTCTAAGACCTTCATTAGGAAGTCACTAACATCTGGGGGAGAGAAAGTTTGGGGAAGGAGGACACCTGCAAGACCGTCATTTGAAGACACTGAAGGGTACAGTGTGGGGATTATGACAAACTTCAGTCTTGCCTTTTGCTAGGGAAAGTCAGGGAGAGGAAATTTCCTTGGGTTGGAGCAGCCAGCAGACCTTGGTTTAGATCCAGCTGTAAACCTATTCCCTTAGGTAAGTGACCACCTCTCTGAGCCCAAGCTTCCTCATTTACAGGATAATAGCCATACCCATGTACCACACAGGTTAGTTTAAAGAATTAAGAAGGGTTTGTGGAATCACCTAGCCCTGTATAGTGCATAGTGGCATCCAATAAATGACTCTCATGAGCTAGACTCTTCTTCGTGTTTACCACCACCCCGGATATGGAACCTTCTTGGGCTGAGTTCTTAAGGAGAGGAGAATATGCTGCTGTTTTTCTTTCAATGGCTTGTTATTTTTGCTCCCACCTTGCTCTTTCCTATGTCCCCTTTATATCTCTTCCCTAAACTCTGGATAGTTCAAGAGTAAGTAGAGGGGAGGTGTTTGTTCCAATTATTGGATTAGTGTTGGTGTCAGGAAATCAACTCTGAATTCTTCACCTTCCTGTCTGCTTCACCCTTATACTTCCTGGTAAGGAAAACCCAATAATTAAGAAAAGGAAAGCCAAAAGGGACAGGAGAAAAAGATAAGAGATATTTTCTACCTAGTCTCCCCTCCAACCCTTGCCTGCTAGTGTCAAGACACTTTATAAGGAGGTACAAGCTACATGCAGCGTTAGTACAAACATGGAAGAACCTAGGTTTGCCTGGGTGGCAGGCAGATTAATGATGGCCCAGAGATGGCCATGTCCTAATCCCCAGACCTGTTTCATTACACAGTGAAAGGGGTTTTGCAGATGTGATTAATGTTAGGTACTGTGAGATGAGGAGATAAAATTTGAAAAGAAAGGCAGAAGAGTCAGAGATTCAGCAGAAGAGAGGGCAGAAGAGGGACTCAACCCTCCATTGCTAGCTTTGAAGGTGGAGAAAGAAGATCTTTGAAGCCAAAGAATACAGGCAGCCTCTAGAAGCTGGGAACGGCCCTCAGCTGACAGCCAGCAAGGAACAGGGACTTCATTCTACGACTGCATGGAACTGAATTCTGCCGACAACCTGAAGGAGCGTGGAAGCAGATTCTCCCCTACTGTCTCCAGAAAAGAACACAGCCCTGCTGATGCCTTGATTTAACCTGGTGAGACTCATGCCAGACTTCTGACCGACAGAGCTGTGATAATAAACTTCTGTTGTTTTAAGCCACTAAATTTGTGTTAGTTTGTTATGGCAACAAGAGAAAACTAATACACCCTGTAAGGGGTGGAGGGTGAGAAGTGAGCTCTTTTTCTTACCCAATTCCTTCTTGTCCCACTCCAATTTTTCTCATCAGGAGCATAAGTCAGACTTTGCAGATAAGCTATGCACATTGCATTGTAAGTACTTAATTGATAAGGGGTTGACTTTTGTTTATGGTGGGTGCTAGGGATCCAATTTAATATCCAACTGATATTAAACAATGTGAATACTTTTTATAGTTTAAAGTAATTTGTAGATTGGGGGGTTTTCTCTTTAATCATATCATCTGCAGAAGTTTTATTTCTTCCTTTTTGATTCTTTTGCCTTTTACATGTGTCTCTCTGTGTGAGAATGCCCAGGCTAGGCCTTTTAGCACAGTGTTGAATAGAGTGATAATAGTAAACATCCTCATTCTGTTTATGATTTTAAAGGAAAGCTCTTAAAGTTTCACCATGTGTATATGATGTGTATGACATCTTTATGCTTTTCCTTTTGTTTATTGAGTTAGGGAAGTTTCCTTCTATTTCTATAATAGTTTTTTTTTAAATCATGAGTGAATGTTGACTCTCATTAAATATTTCTTCTGTGTCTATTGAGATGACCACATGATTTTTTCTTGTAATTTGTTAATGAGGTGAATTGCATTAATACATTTTCTAATGTTGAACCAATCTTACATTTCTGGAAGAAACCAAACTTGTCATTTTAAAAAATATTCTGTTTAGAATTATTGCACTTATGTTTATGGATGAGGTGGGACTGTGGTAATCTCTCTCATATTGTCTTTGATAGTTTTGATGTTAATATTATACAGATATCTACTTAATACTAGTAATTTGTTTCTGAAAATCAGATGTTGTGTGCAGAAACATTAACTGGGAGCTTATTTCCCTTTAATTAATTAACTAATTAGTTAATTTTGAAGATTGGCACCTGAGCTAACATCTGTTCCCAATCTTCTTTTTTCCTTCTTCTTTTTCTCCCTAATGCCCCCCATAGTTGTATATTTTAGTTGTGAGTCCTTCTAGTTGTGGCATGTGGGACGCCACCTCAGCATGACTTAATGAGTGGTGCCACGTCCACGCCCAGGAACTGAACTGGTGAAACCCTGGGTTTCCAAAGCAGAGCGTGCGAACTTAACCACTTGGCATGGGGCCAGCCCTCCCTTTATTTTTATTTATTTATTTTTACATTTTTTTGCAGAGAAAGATTTGCTCTGAGCTAACTTCTGTTGCCAGTCTTCCTTTTTCTCCTTCTTTTTTTTCTTCCCAAAACCCCAGTGCATGGTTGTATATCCTAGTTGTAAGTCTTTCTAGTTCTTCTATGTCAGCTGCCACCACAGCATGGCTACTGACAGATGAATGGCGTGGTTCTGTGACCAGGAACCGAACCTTGGCCACCAGAGCAGTGAGAGCGCTCAACTTTAACCAGTAGGCCATCAGGGCTGGCTCCTCTTTGTTTTAAATGGTAAAATTATGATGGGTTACTTGTTAACCCAACCAATTTTCTAAAATGTAAAGTAAGATATAGTAAACAAACCTCTATTAAATAACAAACTATAACATTAGACTGTAAATGTTCATAACTTTGCGTCTTGATCACCGAACAACATAGCTGTTAAAGAGTTGCTTTGTCAGGAGGAACAGATTCTCTTTCATTGTTGATGCTTTTCTGCTTGCTTTGCTTCCTTCTCCATTAAGTTCTTGAACACTTTCTCAACGTTTTTGGTTCTCATTCTACAAAATTAGGGAAAAAAAAGGGCAATAGGAAATATGAAGGCACTGTGGAAATGTGGCAGAGAATGGTTCACACTGAGGATGTTACTGTAATGCTGCTTTTGTCACTGGTAGCATTTGTGTAGACTCTCCCTTTCATTGATATTCACTTCACTTTGCGATTTGTTGACACGTGAACCAGGCATTTTACCAATTGTGTTTGTAATGTTACTCAAGGCATTTCCCACACTTTGTTTTTTCTTTTTTGTCTGTCATTGGTAAAATGTTGTATTGAGTTTTGGTGTCCTAAATATAATTTTTCGTGTGTAAATATCAGTTGAAATGTTGTTTTGAGATATATAAATGTTGTATGATATTGGAGCATTAAATGCAAGAGGTAATTTACTGGGAAAACATTAATTAGGGAAATGTTCTGTGGAGAGTGCCTGTACTGGCTTTACAAAATTAGGTAGAGAACTTTTCCTCTTTTACTCTTCTCTGAAAAATTTAGTATGTCAGAATTAATTTTTCTTAATTTTTAAAATAAACCTGACTTTTAAAACTATCTGGGTCTAGTATTTTTTTTTTGTGGGAAGATTTTTAAATTACTGATTCAGTTTCTTTAATGGACGTTGGACCATTCAGGTTTTTTCTTCTTTAGTCGGTTTTGGTAAGTTAGCTTTCCTAGAACTGTGCCTGTTTCTTCCGTGTTTTTAAATTTGTTGGCAGAAACTTGTTCATGATTGTTAGATTTTTTCCTGACACCACCCGATTCTCTGATTCTCTGACATCAACCGTGTGTCCAAAAATTTGATTTAATTCGGACACTAATTCCTAGAGTTGGCACAGGTTAAGGGCTCAGTCCCACAAGACTGCTCCCATTTGATTTGCCAGCTGCAGTGGGGTGCCCAGGCTGCCCACACTTCTGCTCAGCCGGCTGCATATTGGGGGGTTTCCATGACCCTCTCCCCCCACCTCAGGTTTGATAATTCACTAGAATGAGTCACAGAACTCAGGAAAACACTTTACTTACTGTTACCAGTCTATTATAGAGAATACAACTCAGCAACAGTCAAATGGAAGAGATGCATAGGGCATGGTATGGGGTGGAGGTGGGGTGTGGAGCTTCTATGCCTTCTCTGGGCATGCCACCCTCCCAGCAGTTGGATGTGTTAACCAGCCCAGAAGCTCCCTGAACCTTGTTGTTTAGGAGTTTTTAAGGAGGCATGATTCATTAAATCATTGGCTATTGATGTTCGAACAAAACCTCCAGACCCTTTCTCCTCTCCAGAGATGGGGTTAGGGTGGGTAGGACTGAAAGTTCCAACTCTAATCGCATGGTTTGCTCCCCTGGCAAGTAGCTCTAATCCTGAAGCTACCAAGAGGGCCCACCAGGAGTCACTTTATTGACTTTGTGTCTTCTTCGATTTCCTTCATCAATGTCTTATAGTTTTGAGTGTATCAGGTACACCTCCTCGGTTAAGTTCATTACTAGATATTTTATTCTTTTTGATGTGATTGTAAATGGGATTGTTTTCTTAATTTCTTTTTCTGACAGTTCATTATTAGTGTATAGAAACAACTGATTTTTATATATTGATTTTGTATTCTAAAGCTCTACTGAATTCATTTATTATTTCTAACAGTTTTTTTGTGGAATCTTTAGGATTTTCTATATATAATATCATGTCTTCTTCAAAAAGAGACAGTTTTACTTCTTCTTTTCCAAATTTGGATGCTTTTTATTTCTTTTACTTACCTAATTAATCTGGCTGAGGCTTTCAATACTATGTTGAATAAAAGTGATAACAGTGGGCATCCTGGTCTCGTTCTTGATCTTAGAGGAAAAGCTTTCAGTTTTCACTATTGATTATGATGTTAGTTGTGGGCTTGTCATATATGGTATATGGTGTCATTGTGTTGAGGTATGTTCCTTCTATACCCACTTTGTTGAGAGTTTTTTGTTATTATGAATGGATGTTGAATTGTGTCAGATGCTTTTTCTGCATCTCTTGAGATGATCATAGGGTTTTTATCCTTCATTTTGTTAATGTGGTATATCACATTGATTGATTTGCATATATTGAACCATCCTTGCATCTCTGGAGTAAATCCCACTTGATATGGTCAATAATCTTTTTAATATACTATTGAAGTCAGTTTCCTAATATTTTGTTGAAGATTTTGCATCTGTTTTTGCATCAGGGATATTGACCTGTAGTTTTCTTGTAGTGTCCTTGCTGGTTTTGGTATCGGGGTAATGCTGGCCTTATAAAATTATTTTGGGAATACTTCCTCCTCTTCTATTTTTCAGAAGAGTTTAAGAAGGATTGGTATGAATTCTTTAAATTAGAATTCATCACTGGAGCCATCTGGTCCTGGAATTTTCTTTGTTGGGAGGTTTTTGATTACTGATTCAATCTCCTTACTAGTAATTGGCCTGTTCAGATTTTCTATTTCTTCATGATTCAGTCTTGATAGGTTGAATTTATCCCTTTATTCTGCGTTGTCCAATTTGTTGGTGTATAATTGTTCATAGTAGTCTCTTAAGATCTTTTGTACTTCTGTGGTATCAGTTGTAACATCTCTTTCATTTCTAATTTTATTTATTTGAGTCTTCTTTTTTCCCTTGGTGATTCTAGCTAAAGGTTTGTCAATTTTGTCTGTCTGTTCAAAGAAACAGCTCTTAGTTTCATTGGTCTTTTCTATTGCCTTTTTAGTCTTTTTTTCATTTATTCCTGCCCTGATCTTTGTTATTTCCTTCTTTCTACTAACTTTTGGCTTCATTTAGTTCCTTTTCTAGTTCTTTAAGGTATAAAATTCAGTTGTTTATGTGAGATCTTTCTCATTTCTTAATGTAGGCAGTAGTTTCTGTGAGCTTCCCTCTTACAACTGCTTTTGCTGACTCCCATAAGATTGGTATGTTATATTTACCTTTTATTTGTCTCAAGACATTTTTTGATGTATCTTTTGGTTTCTTCCTTGACCATTGGTTATTCAGTAGCATATTGTTTAATCTCCACATATCTGTGAATTTTTCAGTTTTCTTTTTGCAATTGATTTCTAGTTTCAAACCATTATGATTGGAAAAGATGCTTGATATGATTTCAATCATCTTAAATTTATTAAGACTTGTTTTGTGACCTAACATATGATCTACCCTGGAGTGTGTTCCATGTTTGCTTGAGAAGAATGTGTGTTCTGCTACTTTTGGATGGAATATCTTGTAAATGTCTATTAAGTCCATCTGGT